GTACATAACTTGTAGATCGACTAAACATTTTTCTTTCTACAGAGACTGGGCTTATGAAGGTGTTTACGATAACACCACTGACTCAACATCTTATAAAAGCTCCAAAGGATTTAGTTATCACCAAGGACCGGTAAGAAACTGAGTAATTTTCAATATATAATGATGAAAAATTCACGATATGGATCTTGCATACCATTACCATGACGATGCCCGGGACCATAAATTCTGATTGGATACTTGTTGCAATGATTCATAGCCACCTCCAAGGCCTCTCTTTTCTTTTACTTTCTTTGACACTTGGGATCCTTGAGAAGGCAGAGGGGACTTTGGGAGAAGATGCAAGTTAGCTCGAAACCTATTTTACATTGCTCTACTAACCACAGGTGGCCCACCAAAGAAAAAAACATGAGAGGGAAAAAAAGTAGACTCTTGCGGATGAGGGTAGCCAGTTGATCTAAAATAGTGACAGAAATTACTTCACTGCATAACTGAGGTGTCATGAAGCTTGAAAATTGACCAGGGAAAAATAAAAACCTGTCCACAATCGTCCACAATTGCAATAGAAATATGAAACTCATTAATYATTGCGCCATTAGTGTTATTAAGGGCTTTTTTAGCAAAGTATTATTTGGTAGCTTGCAAATCCAGAATTTAAAGAGGAAAACATGACCCCTCAGTTTTGCAAATTTCCTCGATTCTGATTGGCTAATATTTTTTTGTCAGATGAGCTGGAGTATATTCAATGAGCAAATCAGTGTCATGTGCCGTTTCGTTTCACTGGCACACAATTTCCTCGATTCTGATTGGCTAATATTTTTTTGTCAGATGAACTGGAGCATATTCAATGAGCAAATCAGTGCCATGTGCCGTTTCGTTTCACTGGCACACAAAATCTTCTTTCGTGAATCCTCTCTTTATACCCTTTCTGGAATATTAAGACATTACTGCTGTCAAGTTTTATTAAAATAATCATAATCTCTCCAGGAGTGGGTGTGGTGTATAGGTCCTTTCCTACGAGCACGTTTATACTTCGCCAAAGAGTTCAAAGGAAAAAAAGGTCTCGAAGAGACTGTYATTAAAGTCAGAAAAGCCCTGGCTCAACACAAGGTCCAGATYACTGCCTCCCCCTGGCGAAGCCTACCAGAAATTACAAATGCAGGTGGAGACGTTTGTAAGGATGGCTGCCCAGCCCARGCGTGGTCTATAGCTTGTATAYTAGATGTCCTTTTTGATATGGAAAAATATCTAAAAGAGTASAGAGTGGGCATRGTAAGGTAATAGTTCGATAGGTAYCRYTGTGTTGTATGACTAAAGACTYATCTGCACAAGTTTGTAAGGATGGCTGCCCAGCCCAGGCGTGGTCTATAGCTTGTATATTAGATRTCCTTTWTGATATGGAAAAATATCTAAAAGAGTAGAGAGTGGGCATAGTCAGGTAATAGTTCGGTAGGTATCGCTGTGTTGTATGACTAAAGTCTCAYCTGCACAAGTTTTGCCTCGTCTAAGAACTAAAAATTTGCTTAAGTCAGCTGTAATGTAAAGAATGTGCAGCTTGAACAATATACCCCTTACAGCACTTCAGAATGCAGCTCAATTTGAAGGGCAAAACAATAGGTTTCCTATTCTCTGGATATTAATTTTTT